AAGGAAAAAAAAGGCCACGCCTTGTCCGGGAAAAAGTGGAACAAAATTCGGGGGTTGGGGAAAGAAAAGTTCCCCCCCCCCCCCCCCCCCTCGAAATCACCAAGAGCGACTAAGCAACACAAAGAATTCGGTTCGTCATGCTCGTCCCAGTGATAATCGCTTATAGTATTAAAATTAATCGCGACCATCGGGAGGACTCCGAATGACTTTGTTCCAAATACCCCCCATGATAACTTTTCTAACTTCCCATATAACTCCCCATAATATTCTTGGACGAACTCATTAATAGAGGTTGACAACGGTTGCAAATCACAAGGTAACGTATCTACACATTCTTGATGTTCGACTTTGTGGGCACTTGCGGTGTTAGAACTTGTGTAAGGTAAGAGGTTATTTCGCGCGTATACACCGAAATGTTCGATAAAATTGGTCCAAAATTCTTTACTACGGTGGGAAGGGTTATTTAAGGCATGAAAATAATAGTGGTTTACAGCTTCGGTGGTTTTTGACACGGCATTCGAATTATTTAATCCTCCCAGGTGAATTAGGGTTCTACCCTCAACGCCAGTAACGCATCTTGGTCTTTCAATATATCGAAACCTCACCAATCCTTTTAGAGAATGAGTATTACTCCGTGCAGATATTATTAATTGGGCCTTCTCCTTCCGGGAAATACGCGCCGTGGTTATACACGGATCATTCCGTGGTTTATTATTTTGGTACTCGTCTTCCTCATGTTTAAGTTTCATCCATTTTGATCGTAGATGCCGACGTACACCTCTTATTGTAACTGGCTCTTCGACACCTAACCAACGACCGAAAGCAACCCACAATCCGTTATTCAAAGTATTGACTTGAGGATCTTCTTCGTTATCGCGATCTATCTTGATTATCTCTCTATCGAGCAGGTTAAGAAATTTAGGCGGGATATAAGGTATTTCATTATCCTTGGTAAGCGTTGCCTCTCGAATTAAGGTTTCAATCAATAATCCTCTCGTAGAAACCTCTTCTCGAACTTTAGCTCCTTTCGATGCCACACAATCTGACGAACAGAGTGGAGTGCTTTTCCGTTCTTTTTCAATGTAATAGAATTTATCATTTGTACATAACCCTCGAGTTGCAAATTGTGTCCTATGCTAATATATAAAATTGTATTATGCGAAGACATGTTTTATAGTACGACTCGAATTGGATTTTATGCGAACAGGTCAATAAGCTCTTTTTTACGGACTGAACAACCACCCTCGTTCAAGTATTAAGCCACTATTATAGTGATTATGCGATTTCTACAACACAAATACGAAGATGGATTACCAACTAAGTATACTCGTAAAAAGAAACTTAGGTAGTTGTTCTATCACGTAAAAATAACCGCTTAATTACGTTCACAAATAAAAAAATCGAAATTGTATACTTTGTTCGGGTTGAAGATAATGTTTGTCGTTGTTAGAGTGGGCTAAATGTTATCTGATGGTAAGGTCGAATTTTTTTCTTTTTCAAGCCCACGTTTTTTATTATAACGGGCGTGACGCGATAACTTCTTAACTCGTTTCTATTGCAACATTACTAATATTAGACGAAAAACGGTGTTTTACTAATATATGGAGAAAAAGACAAAAGCAACACTACTCGACGAGCCGTAAAATTCCTAGAGCCGAGTCCTACTCAAATCGAATAGCGTATACTTTCGCGAAAAACAAGAAACCGGAAATTATCAACCAATCAGACCACGCCGGGATCGACGTAGAAGTTCGTGGAACATACATAATCATCGTTTTATATCTGGAGTAATCGTTGCACGATCTATTTCGGGATGTACTACAAGCATATAATTAATTTTCTGGTGCGATTATATGGAGTGTACGACTTGATACTCTAACATGTGCCCCGATTAATAACGCGTGACGATAGTTTGAAAAACTGACCATCTTTCATTGATGTAAACATAAAATACATATCTATTCTATATCAGTCGATACAGTTGAACTACCTAAATTTCTACTTGATCTTCGTAAGCGAAAACTGCGTAATACTGACATGTTAACTATTAGTATATTTCGAAGTATTTAGCTAAAAATATAGGTCCATGTACCGGGATTAAATTTAATGGTTCACAACAAAATTTTTACATGTAAAGAAAGTATGTGTGCTTTATTCAATTATATAATAAAAAGATTTCACTCTAGTCAATTCTTAATTTTATTAATTATAATTTGAAGAGAGCTCATCTTATTTCCCTTCCGTCACGGATATTAGATCATCGTCTGGTAAATGTATCCACTCTCGTAGGTTATTGGCATCATCATTGACCAAGGGCATAAAATAACTAATTTCTTCTAGAAGTTCTTCTTGTTCGATAAACTCATTCCAAAGATTTATTTGTAGCATCCAATGGTTCTAATCGAAAAGGGAATCATGCACGAGGCCAATTCGACGGCCAAATATTTTTTCTTGTCAACAAGCGATACGGAAAATAATGTTAATCGATCCCCAATTACCTGAATACTATATGATTTAACTTTTTGGCGTCATCAATCGAGCAATAGAAATTATTTGCTAGTATTCTACATAAATTACAAACGGCCATCATGAGTAATTTTTTTGCGTCTCCAACTGTATGTCGCTTTTCTGGTTTGTAAGGTGGTCCGGACACTTCGATGTGTAGAATTTCCCTGCCATCGGACAGCCTCATAATCAACAGATCAGTTTTTCGAGCCTTTACGTTGATTGCAAACATCTTGCCAGCTTCCTTTAGAGATTTGACATCTTTCTCGATCCACTCGTATCTAACTTCGGGAAATGCATTCCTAAAGGATCGAAATATTGGCGAAAGGAGTTCAACAATATATGACCTTTCGGACATATCTCGAGCTAACACTTTGGGCGACATATATTCAAACATCGCAACGAAATCTATGAGGGTGTGCCGGATAATGAAGGGAAACTCTATTCTTTTGTAAAACTTAACAACAGTAAATCTTCATCAAGTATGATTTTTCTCAATATATCAACGTAAGCCTGTGGATAAAAATAAAATATTAATATCCAATACGATAATCAATAAATGCGATGACGATATTTAACACAAACCATAATGCCTATAAAAAATAAGATATACATAAATCCAGTAAGTGAATCAAATGAATGACCTTGAGAAACAATTTTTTTTTTTTTTTAACCCGAAACTTTCTCAGATAATTATAAGATCGCTAAGTATACAGCTGTTTCGCCAACAACACCAGAGGCAGACGTACCCCTCAGGTTTTACAGGTCGGGGAAACACTGGATTTAGAAAACCAGAACCTTATAATATCCTTTGAAAATTGCTATCAGGTCATTTCGCCAACAACACCGGAGGCAGACGTACCCCTCAGGTTTTACAGGTCGGGGAAACATCGGGTTTGAAAGGAACACGAATATTGAATCATACTCAACTTTAAGTCAATTACACAAAGAAGATGCGCGACGCGTAAAAGAGAAAAAAATTATCGATTGTGAAAAAATCAATTAGGGCGGCCGCATATATGCGTTGGCCAATCAAAAATATGCGTGCGGTAATTTATTATATATGCCGAAATATACCCTTTATGGCTTTAAAATATGCTCGAAAAAATGCGAAAAAATGTAAAAAAATGCAAATAAGTTATATTTATTAATCCTTATTAAAATATAAAAAATTTAAAATGGAAATTGATTCCTCCGATAATGAACAATGTTTATCACTAAGAATATTTCTATAAGATGAAAAACTTCTTTCTACATCAACCCCCAATACTGGAAGCCAAATATACATTAATGCTATTTTAGACAAATTTAGAAGATAATTTTTTTCATCATTTCAGTATTTATCTAAATCTAATTCATTATCTCTTCAAAATCTTCATTTAATTCATAATAAATTTCCATTCAAATAAAATAATGTTACTATGATTTTTAAATTTTTTGATTTCACCATATCTTTGAATATTATATCTTGCTTGACTAACTTATATAAATTAAGGATCAAAATATTGAATAGTTTTAAATAGTGGTAATGCAGAATAATGGTCAATATGTTTTTTAAATTTATCTAATGTTGATTGAAAAGCTCTTTAAAATATTTCTTGAAATATTGATAAATTCACATTTAAAGAATTAAATTTGGTATTCATTTCACTACTAATTGGAGGTTGAATTGTACCTAATTGTAAATGAGATTCAAGTAAATATAATTTTGTAAACACAAAATGTACTATAGGTTTGTTACAAATTTTAAAAATTTTAAACTATTATAAAGACTATAATAATAAAAAAATAATTATTAGTTAATTAATTAATTAATTAAAATTATAATATAAATAGCTTATCTTTTTGCATTTGTAATAGTGATTTACAAGCAATAATATTAGAAGTTGAAAGGATGTTTTACCTGAACTCCTAACAAAATGATAAATTACTTCTGAAGTTATATTTAAAAAGGTAAACCAATCAAGACAAGTAAGTTAGTTAAAGAATTAGCTTTAGCATTTCATGTTATATATATAATTTACAAATATTTAATAAAATATACATAGCTAGTCTAACAAAGAGCAAAAAAAAAAATAACTTATTTTTTTGCATTAAATATAATAAATATTGTTAAAATTTTAAACATATTGTAAAAGTATTTATTGAATTATTAAATATTGTAATTAACTCTTTAACTACTTTACTTTTATTATTTGCATTTTCTTCTTGAAAAAAAAAAACTTTCAAATAATATAAATGTTTTTTTACCCAAAAAACAAAATTAAAACAAGAATTCCATCTAGTTTTTATAGATAAAGGAGATAAAGTTGAATTATTAAAAAAGAAAAATAAATTTAAAAAAGAAATTTATCTTCTTTTACAAAAATTATTTTGAATAAAAAATGTTTTAATATTTTGAATAGCAATTTATAATGGTTTAAAATCATGAAATTCTATTCAAATATTAATTACCAAATTTAAAATATATGAAGTATTATCTGAAATAAATAAAATAATATTTTCAAAAGAAATATCACAAAAATAAATAATATACATAACTAATTATATAATAAATGAATTATCTACAATTGTCAAATATTCAGTTCTAACAAGTTTTGTAAAATTTATAAAACTAAACAAAATGTTTACAGTTGCATGTTCACAACTATCTATTGCTTCATTAATAATAATTGAAATTATTTGTTCTATCAAAACAATTTTTAAATTTTTTAATTCTATATTATATACAATTGATAAATATTTTTTTTTTTAAGTTGTAAAGATTCAACAATAGTACTTTCTATTTATAATAAAAATAAATTAGAAAAATATATATAATATAATATAATTTAATTTGCAATTTTTATAATATTAAAACAAAAATGATTTAAGCTTATCAATTTTTTCTAATAGTATATTTATTTAAATAAATATTTGAATCATATTTATATTTATTATTTTACAATTACTTGCTAAATCAACTGAACCAATAAGTATAAGCTGATATATTCTTTGTATAGTTTTTTTTTTTTTATATATATATATATTTTAGTTTTCAAATGTTGGTTAACTGAAAACTTTTTTTTATAATTTATTACATAAAGCAAAAAATACAAAATAATTTTTTGCTTTCTATGTAAAAAATTTCTTGATAAAAATCATATTCTCATTAATATTCATTAGCAATAATTTTGTTTTTTTTAATAGATGATTAGAAAAAATTGTATTAATTGTACAAATTATATAATATACTATTTTTTTGGAATGGAAGCTCAGTCATATTTACTAACTTTGATAATATAATATACAAATTAATGCAAATATTACAAAGGTTGTCACATAGAGCCATATATCATTTATGTTAATAAAACTTCCTAAAACCTGACCTTTAACAGATTTACCAGGTGGCTTGTTGCTCAGAAATATCCGGTTGATTAAATTTCTACTACTACTACTATCTAAAAAAAAACTAGACATCCTTTATTGGATCTTAAATCCTTCCAGAGTCTTCCCAACTAACATGCCATAGAGAACTTGCTAGTTTCAAGAAAAAAGAGATACATCTTTTTTTTGATCCTGATTATTATGGCCTGATACTAATTATCGAGTGTGTTCAGAGAAAGAGTGTGAATTTGATAGTATTTTGTGTCATACAAGGATAAAAAAACTATTTGAATCAGAATGGAAAAACCCTGGAATAATTTTTGAAATGGAAGAATAGTTGTGTCTTCGAGAGTAATGTGAGTTCTTAAGGTTCCATTCTAATAAAAGAGATATTTATTCTATAGTTCTAACACTTTCGGATAATAATG